ATTGGAATGGCTATGTCTTCTGGGACTGAGTTTTGAAAATGTAATCCTTTGGTTCATGATAATATGTTACTAGTCGCACTCATAACCAGGTGTAAATATTGTATTATTATTTACAAAAACACCACTGCCTCATTTGTGACATCATTGGCGCAAAAACTTGGAAGATAAGGTGACATAGAAAAGGGTTTTTCTAGTAGTGGAAAAGCAAAAATATCAGGAAAAGGTGAACAAGAAAGTTGCATAAGATGTCTTGAATGGTATAGGAAACACTATCTTTCTAAATACAATAAAGACCCTTAAGTATTTGCACTACCAAATTTGAAGCTAATATAACAATGAATTTTACAAAGTGATAATTTGTCTTTATCTTTGCACGCACTTAAAGAGAAATGCAATAAATTTGATGTTATATTTGTTGTTTGTTATGTGTAAATGGAGTGATGGTAAGGGGTATATATTGATTATGAAATGATTCCTTAATATGAATAGGTGTTTTTTTTTATAAAACCTACCTAGTTAAAAGTCATAACTATAGTTCATGAACTAATATATTTTTAATAGTCAAAAGTTATTTAAAAGGCAAAAATATAGACTTCATATAACGTTTCAATTTGATATAATAACACCGCTTACTTTGCTACAACTAACTATGATAGAAAACCTGGCTTTGATAGGAAAATGTAACAACACTGCTTACCTTGTTAGAACTAGCTATGATAAAAAAGAAACAAAAACCAATATACACACATATCATAGTTATTTAAAAACAAGCACATCACTACTGAGCTAATCATGATACAAAAACAATCAATCAACGTCACTTAAGGCTATCATGGTTCAACAAAAACAAAACCTTATAACATCATAACATAACCATATGCAAACCATATTAGAAAGAACTAGGTTCATCTAACATGGTTATAAGACAACATACTTTTAATTAACAATAGTTATAATTTTATATATAACAAACTCCATAAGAAAATCCATTTAGGAGCAATGGTCTTTAAAATTCTTATTGTTTACAAATGACATCTCACATTCATAAACTAAAAACCATAAGACTTAAGTCTCATCAATATTTTATAATAAATTCTTAACAAACCAAACACATGTGATCTTAAGCCTTAAGCAAACTCTCAACTTGCACACAACAATAAAATAATTAAAAGGACACAAAAACATGATAATGCATGAACTAGTTAAACATAAATTGTCATAGGGTGGCGCTAGGCAGGAAACAACATATGAGATCATTAAACGCAAATATATCCTTATATTGTCCTTATTTTCTACTGACTGGATTCATAAGTTAAGTTCTCATCATTTGACTAGCTATTATCACAAACTCACTGCACAAGTCATATGGATAGGCCGAAGACCATAGAGCACTCAGTGGACCATAGGTCCCCCTTGAAGAACTAGTAGGATGCTAATAGTGGCCAACCATAGAGCGCTATATGAAACCCAATACCATGTGGCTTGTTTATGTTTGTATACTCCAATCATCTCCTCCTCTAAACCAAACTAGATGCATAGGATTTATAATAACACATTTATATGGTTTCATATAAATCCGGAATAATACATAATCCATAATAATACCTCGTAGTCATAATCATTAATTTCCATAAAGATAACTATTGGTTTCATCCCCTCTCAAAACAAAATCCCACAAGTTCTCTATACAAAACATAATAAACATATAAAAATTGGTTATAAAACTACTCTCTAACCTTATACTAGAGCATGCAACGGATAGAAATTTAGTTATCTGGTCTCCTAACTAACATTCAAACAAAAAGAGGTCTGAACTTGAAGACACCAAAATAGGTTTTATATCTACAAATAGGATTGAAACATCATCTTTATAGTATTAGATTAAGTTATTCCTCAAATTCTGGCCTTTAACTCCCTATCTAAGATCTATAACTATTACTCAGAATTATAGTTCAAAGGTTTTTTCTAAGGTTTGGAGTAAAAATATATATATGATGATTTAGATTCAATTCCTACGTTCCCTTAAATTATCCTTGATTTATTAGGTTATATCATTAGAATCATTAATCATCATCAATTCATAACCTAGGTAAAGAAAAACCCTAATGTACAACTAATGTTCTATATTTGTCAGGAAAATATATCTAATATGAATTAAGTTACTCACCATAGATGTCCAATTGCCAAACCAACCATTGAAATTAGTGCCTTAGACATCACAAATCAACTCTCCAAATTTTAGCTTGATCCAATGGTGGACGATTTTGAAAATAATAATTTGCTAATTAGGATTCTATTTACAAGATTTGAAAAAAATGAGTTCAATACATATCTAATAACTCATACTTTAGAGAACGAATCAACAATCCAATTGTTGAAAAGAACAAGCTATATGTCATAAAGTAGCAGACCAAATTGTAGCATGATCCAACAATTTAGAAACTTTAAAACAACACTTTATCAAGATTTTCTTAAGTTTGTGTGAAAATTAACTAACTTATTCTTAATTCTACCCTACCACTTCCTATACATAGGTTCCTAGAGCTCCTTTTTCCCCATTATTTAGTCAATGTGAGGTTTCTCTACCTTGTTATTTTATTCATTTACATATTTATGTGTGTGTATACATATACATGCATTTATTTATTTACTTGTACATACACATACACACACATACACATATAATTATAGTTATTTTAATTGCTTGTATTTAACCTTTGTGAACTCGATGTTAATAAATATTTTTTTTTATAAATTTACTTAAATCTTGGATATAAAAATTAGGATGTTACATTTGGTTTCATAACTTTAAAAAGTATATTTTTCTTCCTTAAATTTTAAAACCGTTAATCTCAAATGATATATATTTTTTTTATAACAATCATGATTGTTTTGAAAATTAAACTTAATATATTGGCATTTAAGAATATTTTATCAACAATGAAGATCTTAATATGATCATTTTTTGTTCACATTTTTTTGGTAAAGAACTAAAAAAAATAAAGGGAGTAAATAGAAACCTTATATAAAGTTAAAGGACTAAAAGTATACTTTAGTTGATTTAAAATAACTTTTTCATGAAGAGTTACACCTTTTTAGTATGTAGGGTTTTCCTAAATAATACTTTTCTTGTCCTTAATGTAGAATTTATATAAGACTTATTTTATATGTTTATCATTTTATTTCAAATTAACCTTATTGATATTTCCTCAACAATAATCAACTAGGAGAGGTAAGGAGAGAATTACAAGGATGCTTAGGATATTTTAGAAAAAAAAATATCATATTAACTAGTTTAATTAACACCTTAATCCACTTAATTAGTTAATTAGTTCATGTTAAGGACAAAATGAGTACAATCTTTTACTAAGTGGTGGTTTTCTTTGGTTATTACATTTAATAGGTGTCTCTAGAAACCAAAGAGATATAACCTTGGTGACAACTATTCACGTAAATTCCTTAATTTGTAAGAATAAACACGACTTTTCAAAATACATTTCTTTCATTTGAAAAATATTCCAACATACTATATTAATAACAATTTAAAGTTGAAATTAATATATCTTTTATGAACTTATTAAAATTTAAATTATATAAATATACCACCTATGTATTTTTAAAAACGCACTTCTTTCTTTTGATTAGATAATAAACTTGCAAAATACTACCTCTATCTCTTATTACAAGATGCGATTTTTTTTTTTTGAATTTGTTTGTTTCTTTTTATAAGATTTACTTTAAGTTTATCTAAACATTAAATATATTTGACCTATTTTATTCTCAATTAATACACTTTTTCTTATTATCTTTTTCTCATACATTCTCTCATTTTTTCTCTCACTTGCATCTACCTACTTACAAATAATAAAGACATAATTGAAAAAACAGTATATTTTTTTTAACATATCTATTATTTTTAACTAATTTTAATAATTTTATAGTTCATGTGATCATTTTATAATAAGGGATGGAGGAGAATATTTTAGCCCTCCGCCACAACACGCCTTATTCTGTTTTTTGGTAATAGAATGCCTTACTCTAATGCCTGATAATTATAATTTTCTTTCTTGAGGTGGAACCTCCCTTGAAGTAAGGTGTCTTAAATTAATTATGATTATTTTAAAAAGTAGAAAGTCTCACTACTCTTGAGCACTAAATCAAATATGCCACAAATTATATGTATGATTAGATGGTGCCGTGTATTCTATTAACAATAAACTCTTTTAGATATATCGTTCGTCAACAAATCCGCCTTATGATAAGTTTCTTAAATGGCTTTTTGAATCTTGTAACTATTCTAGTGTAATTGCCAAAAATGCCCTCCCATCAATTTACGTAAAATTTAAGATTTTCATTTTTATCTCCAAGATATATACCTGCCTTTAAATAAAAAGTAGGATACATTTTTCTGGCAAAAACAAGTACGATACATTTTAATCCAATTAACAAAAAAAACCCATTGATTTGGATAAGGAAAAAAACATTTGCCACTAAAAGTATTCTACTTTTGTTTTAATATATACTCCTCTGATTCTAAATGTAAAACTCTTATACTAGTGAGTATAAGGGTCTTATATTTAGGATTGGAGGAGTAATACAAGAGAATATATTTATCAATAAGAAAATTAACTTAGGAGCCAAGGTTAACTTTCAAGCAAACCTTAATAAAATATTTAATTTGGTAAACCAAGTGGAAACAAGAGCATTTGAATTAATTTTAAATTGAATATACAGGTGATAATTAATATAATAATTGAAGAGATGTTTGGGTATCCAAAATCACTTAAAAAAATATTTTTACACAAAATTCTTTTCATATATTTATTTTAGTCCCCAACCCCTAAATAAATTAAACAGAAATAAGAGAGAAGATTGGAGACATTTCAACGAATCTTAAAAGCAATCAAGGATCATTCTTTGAAGCGACGGACGAAAAAAAAAAGAAAAAAGTACAAAGAAGAAGAAGAAGCAGATGGGAATCTGGCGAAGACTATTTTAGGAGTTCGTCGCATCCGCTTCTCACACACACGCGCGAGAAGTCTTGTTTTCACGAGGAAAGACCCAAAAACTCTCTCTGATTTCTTCCCATGTGGCCGAGGACGACTTTGTAACCTTTTTGCCGAAGGTATAATTTCCATCTGCTTTCCTATGTTCTTCATTTTTTTTTCTCGCTTGTGATCTCTTTTATCCGATTCAATTTTGATCCTGTTACGTCTCTGTGCGAAAAGGGATCGATAGAGACTCTTGCGTGAGGATTTTCAATTTGTGTTCGGAAATAATAATCCATGGCAGCGCCACCAGCACGGGCTCGTGCAGATTACGATTACCTCATTAAGCTTCTTCTTATAGGCGACAGTGGTTTGTTGTTGCTTTCCTATCTCCAAAATTTTTTCCCTCTTGCTTGGAATTTGAAGGAAAGCAAATGGGTGGTTAAATTTCCATATGTTAAATTTTTAGCTGCGGTTTACCATAATTGGTTTATGTGGAGACAGAAATTCTTACCGATCGATTATATTAGGTAGTCTTCTATGCGTTTTTAGATGATGCATTTATCTTTGCTTTATATCTTTTTAATGCTTAAATTATGAATTCACTTTTCCAATCGTCTGGATAAGGGAGGGTCGCTTGATTTTTATATTTTTGACTTTTTAAGCCATAATAACTGTGGGCGTCCGTTGAGCCATTATCTTTCCATGAGATCGCTGAACTGCATATTTAGGAGTGTTCGTTTTCACTTCATTTTCAAAAACACATTAGTCGTATCAGCTCAGGGCTCTTTGTACATATAGTTCTTTCTACTTTTGATAGTCTATACTATAGACACTATAAGGGTAAAGGCTGTATTTGCGCTGTCATATTATCTTAATTCCTAGTTTAATCGTATGAGCTTTTTGTAAGTTTGCGCTTTACAAAGATTGGGAATCATTTGTTCACCAGTCTATACTCTATACTTATTTATATCCAAAAGTAGTATATCATATTTCTTGATTTTGATATGGGTAATGTACATGGTATGATCTTTTATGCAATAAAGTAATGAGCTCATTAATTATATTGGTGTTTGAGTAATTATGTTTAATTTAAATCCAGATGAAAACTCATACTTCCTCTGCACTCTTGCGACTTGACAATGTCATCAATTTACTGATTCACATGTTCTTTCTCTTCTCTGACTACCCCGTTTGCAAAATCCTTAGGTGTATTGAGAACAAATAACAGCTGAATATAATTTTCTGGAGAGACTGTGAAGGTAATTGTTGACTGATATTTAAAAAGCTGGCAATGCTTTTTTGTTGAATCTGGGCATCTGAAAATAAAATGCCTGAAATGTCAAAAAACCTTGGCATTTAAAGATCCATTTACCCCAATATTATGACGCTTGTTGAATTGGGTTAGCATTAATAATTTGAATTGTACTGCTTTGTTTAATAGTTAGAGGAGAAGTTCGGTTTTGTAGTTACTATTTTGGCTCCTGGTTTCAGCTGCGAGTCAGGAATGGTATTTAATGGGGATGGTTGATTTGCAGATTTTGTAGTATATGTTTCTTTTATGGTGTTTATCTTGTGGATCAGGACATTTCTGTTCTGTTTAGTGTGGAGAGTTATCTTCTCATTTACATGGGATTTTAGTGGGCATGCACAGCTAGCAAGAAACCATCTTTGTCATATGTCACTTTTGATAGTTGAAAAGTGACCGCTTCTTTTTATTGACTTGCATTCACTCTTTTGGCCTTATTCTTATGAGGGCCTCTGAAGTTTGTTGATAAATTTCTAATTGTAAGATCCTTCTTTCTCTACTAATATTAACACGCTTTTTCTATACTCTTAATGTTCTCTGTATTTGGGTCTCCTCGGTTGAGATATATTTACCATTAAGTCATGTTCAAATGGTGTTGAGGAGGAAGTTGCAAATTAATTTTTGGGTTAATATTATCTTTAGTTCCAAAATTTGACCTCATTTTGATTTTGGTGCCTAAAATTTGAAACAAGTGATTTAGGTTTTTGAAACAAGGTTTTAAGGACTAAAAACATAGTTTTAGGACCAAAAATCTTTAGGCAGAATGGTCGAATTTCAGGGACTAAAATCACTAGTTTCAATTTTTAGGGATTAAAACCAAAATTAAGTCAAATTTTAAGTACTAGAGACAGTGTTAAATTAAGAAGGGAAAATTAATCTGCAGCTTTTTATAGTTTATCTCAATTTTGATTTGGGTCATTGTAGTTTTTTCGTCTGAATTAAGGCTTTATGGTTTGATTAGTTATAGGTATTCATCCTCGAGTGTAAAACTTGTCAATTTTAATTTATAGAATTTCATGGATTTTATGGAATTTCCTTCATTTCATTTGACACTCTTTTAACACCAGCGCATTTCTATAGTAAAATTCATAAAGTCTGTAAATTAAAATTATTGGATCAAATAACAAGGGCTCGGTTCAAACAAAATAAACGACATTGATTTGATTTAAAATTAAGGTAAACTATAGGGACTTGTGGATTGATTTTTGAAAAAAGTAAGTAAAGTTATTTACTTCAACATCATTTGATCACAATTTTATGGTTAGTATCCCTCAATCGAGGGGATACAAATCCAATTTCTCCTGATGATGTTATCATTTCCTTTTTGTGTTCTCGTGTGAAAACTTGAGAAATTGGGTATTTATTCTGCTTGTTATAATGCACTGTTCTAGTTACTTGAGTTTTTATTTTAAATTATTCAGCCTTCTGACTTGAACTATTTCAGGTGTGGGGAAGAGTTGTCTGCTTTTGCGGTTTTCTGATGGTTCCTTCACCACCAGTTTTATCACAACTATTGGGTGAGTATTCTTAAAAATTTATATAGTATCTAACCTTGATACTTTTGACCTTTTATTCAGGATATTTCAATGTGCATATCAACGTTTCCATTCACTGCAAAGTAATTATCAAAGCATGTCAAACCACTCTTCTTACTTGCTTTTAACATGTCTTGGAAAACATTGCAGGGGTGACTGGACTTAAGGCAGTGTTTTTATGGTGTATAGTTTCTTAGAAAAGCTCATATTTAATGCAAATATTGCTTCATTGTTGGGTACCACCAAATTGTCTGTGTATATGTGTCTATTGATACTTGTGCTTTGGTCGAGCAAATGTCTCTGTTGAAATGTTAAGTTCTTAATGTGATAATTTATCTAACAGGATTGATTTTAAAATAAGAACCATTGAACTTGATGGCAAACGCATTAAGTTGCAAATCTGGGACACAGCTGGTCAGGAGCGATTTCGAACGATCACCACAGGTACGTGTTTTCTCCTTTACAACATGGCTCACAAGCCTTAATTCCAAAATAATGATGACACTTTTCATGATAGATACCTAACAAAAATCTATTCTTATGTTGCCTAATGCATTAGACTGTTATCATTGATGTCAGATTTTGGTAGACGGATCAACGAAATATTAATAGATTAGTATAGGAGTGAAACTTAACAGGTTGGGATATTTCCTTGAGACTAATACATTTCTTCCATGGAGATTGATGGGCTATAATTAGTGGAATTTAATTGATTAATTTAAACATATTAGTTTTTTCAACAAAATTTAAATATTTGTATATGTAAGGTAAATCAACTCAATTTGTTTTTAGCCAATAACTCTTAAATTATTATTTGTCTGAAATAAGTATTTGTAGAATGAGTTGTTAGTTTCTAGCTTTGATTAAGTATTAGCTTTGACTAGTATTGACCACGACAGTGACGACGGCGACGACAACAATAACAACAATAATAGCAAAAGCTTTATCCCACTAGGTGGGGTTAATTACACAAATTGTATGACATCATTGCGCTTTATCAACAATTAAATCTTTGGATAGGTTGTTAATGGAAAGATCTTGCTCAATAACTTTATTGAGCATTCTCTTTGGTCTTCTTTTATCTCTTTTCATAGGACTTCATACTGCTTAATCAAGCGTAAAGGCTTTCTTTGAATGTGATCAAACTATCTCAAACGTTTTTTTTATCATTTTCTCTTGAGTAGAAACTACTCTAACTTTTCTGCATATATGTTCATTATGAATTTTATCTTTTCTTGTATGACCATACATCCACTCCAACATTCTCATCTTGGCTGTACCCGCTTTATGCTCATGTTATCCCTTTAAAGCTCAACATTCACTATCATATAACATTGCTGGTCTTATAGCAGTGCGATAAAACCTTCCTTTCACCTTATTAGTTACTTTTCGGTCACAAATAATTCTTATAGCCTTTCCCCATTTAAACCACCCAGCTCGAATTCTATGATTAACATCTTCATCAATATCACCATCCTTTTGTATAATTGATTGCAAATATCTAAACTTTACTATTCATGGAATGACTTGATCTACCAATCTCACCTCCACATCACTTCTAACTTGTTTCTTATCAAAAGTGCAATGTATGTATTCTGTCTTATTTCTACCCAAATGAAAACCCTTCGAATCCAGTGTCCTTCTCCATAACTTGAGATGAGTTAATCTCTTATTTTGATTCGGCTAGAAAAACCATATCATTGGCAAAAAGCATGCGCTTAGAGATTTTTTCTTTGATAAGTTTAGTTAAAATGTCTAAGACTAGGTTAAACAAATGAGTCTTTTGTCTCACTTTAGGGCATTCTAACACTAGTCGTTGCCTCCCTCCCTTTTGACATATCTTGTATGACTAAGTATTTACATATGAGAATTTGTGATAGAATATGCTTGCTTTAGAATAGTCAAGAAAGTTGAAGAAAGAATGCTTTACATCAAGTGATTAAGCGAGATCTGCTTGCTCTACTTTCCCAGCCGTCAAAACTTGGGCCAAATAGGAAAGGAATGTTACCATAAAACGTATTGGCAGAGAGGCAGATATGCAAGCTGCTATCCTTGCCCACTTGGGCATCAAGAGGGCAAGATGATTTGTGCGTAATTCTCCTAGCCTACTTAGATGAACTTTGAAGGACAGCTTTGGGCCTCAGCCCCCTTCTTCGATGTAAATATTGGGCTTTACCATCATTTTAAGTCATTAAAGGGCTTATATACTGCTTTATACAAAGCTGAGCCTCTTTAGTTTAACAAACCATCTCAACTTGTCTAATACGTGTTATCAATTTCTGCAGTAGAGGTATAGTTATGGTCTGTTATAATAATATTCTCTTTGATGTGATGGAGGTCTCTTACTATTTCTTATTCTTTCGCAGCTTATTACCGTGGTGCCATGGGCATCTTGCTGGTCTATGATGTTACTGATGAAGCATCTTTTAATAGTAGTACTCTCTTCCCTTGCTTTCAACATTTGAAGTTTTCTGATGTTTTAATAATTCTTTTTACTTCCTGTATGATGAATTTAATGCACTCGTCTTTTTGGCAGTATTTATTGTAGCTTTCAATTAAGCTATATTTGGCCCATCAAATTGTATTTTATTTCCATCATTCCCCTTTCTTTTAATTCTTATGTAGCTTTCATATTCCTTCAGATATTAGAAATTGGATTCGCAACATTGAACAGCATGCATCTGACAATGTAAACAAGATACTTGTGGGCAACAAGGCTGATATGGATGAGAGTAAAAGGGTAAGCATATATATATATATATATATATATATATATATGGGGTATCCCTTTTATATTCACCTTCCAAAACTTCATTTCTGGTTATAATATAATTAGTTTGGTAACTGGCTGATGCATGATTTTCTGGAAAAGGTTTCCATGCTCAGCCTTATATATTTGTTTTCGAGGGAAGTCTGCTTTAGATGGTTCCGTGTGACTTAGATGCTGGGATCCTGGGCTAAGCAACCACTAAGAAGATGACCTCAGCATTCTCTGTCTGACAGAGCTGGAATCTGTGTTTGAGATGCTTTTTTGTATCTATATTGACTAATGATTTCCCTATGTTCTTTTATTTTTATAGGTTGTGCCTACATCGAAAGGTCAAGCTCTTGCTGATGAGTATGGCATCAAGTTCTTTGAAACTGTGAGTATCGACCTCCAGTTGTTGACCAAGATCTTCTTCAAAAACTTGTGAATCTGTTATATTTGTCTTAAAACATGCTTGTAGAGTGCAAAGACAAACATGAATGTGGAAGAGGTTTTCTTTTCAATAGCAAGAGACATCAAGCAAAGGCTTGCAGAAACAGACTGTAGAGTTGAGGTATGTCTGTTACAAACCTCATTAGATACATTAGAATGGAAAAAAATAAAAAGAAAAAGTCAATTAAAGAAAGGTGATTTCATGGGTAAGGAATGATCATTGTATCCTTTTAAAAATAATAACAAGTTATAAGTACTGTTCACAAATGATAATGAATACATAACAGACAGCCAAAAAAAAAAAATTGCTAGTTATGCTTTCTCCTTTTCTTCAAAAGAAAAAACTTATCCTTACGTTTTTCTTGGTTTCAATCAAATTAGGACGTGTATGCTTATATCCATGATTCATCTTCTAACTCACTCTTGCTATTATTACTTTAAACTTTTTTTAAAAATTCAAATCCATTATTGGAAAATAGTATATTAAGTTTAAATGCCTCAAGTTTCCTCCTTCAAATGGTGTCCTGGACAATTCTAGACGCAGTGTGAATGGGGAATTTCTTTCTATATTTTTTACTATATTTTCCGACATTAGATTTGTGGTTGATCATATTTTATTTTATTTTTTGCTGAAATACCAAGTATGTAAAAATTGATTTGTTTGTGTTTTCTGTCGGTTTAGCCTCAAACAATCAAGATAAATCAACCAGATGCGGCTGCCAGTGGTGATCAAGCTGCCCAGAAATCAGCCTGCTGCGGTAATTAGCTGATGTAATTGATGACGCAGGAAATTGGCACGTGTAGTTGTTTCTCTGTAATTCCAGTATTTTTTGACGGAGTATTTTAAAAAATTGTTTGCTTTTAGTTTGTGGAATTTGTTGTTGCTGGTTTATGTGCTTCCCCTTCTCATTGTAATCTCAGTCGAAAAGATATTTTGATTCACAAGATTTGGGTAGAATATCATCGGGAATCTCCACGTCTGGCAAGATTAAATGTCCTTTGATACATGAGAATTGGGTTAAAAAAAATGGAAATAGAATTGGAATCCAAGTTACGATGTGTTTGGTATGAGCGAATCCTATTGTAGAATCACGGAGTCCATTCTTTTTCTTACTGTTAACCTCATGATCACTGTAGACCACGAAAACAAAAACAAAAAAACAAAAAACCCTCATGATCACTAGGCTTTCGATGAATAGTCACCCCGTGCTGTTGCCATCATCTGTAGATTTGGCCCAACAGGTCAGTTTTTTCTCATTATAAAATCGTCTTGGTTCGATGCCGTTTGCAGTTTTTGGGTTTGTCTTGCTTGCAAAAATGGTTTTGGTCAAAGATGGCCGAACTTTCAAAGAAGGTTTTGGTCTTGTTTGATACGAAATATTAAAAATGAGGGATGAATGTTGGTATTACAATTAAGAAAAATTATTAAAAAATTATTTAGTATGAGTAATTATTTGATACATAAGATTAGACAATTAGAAAATATTACTTCTACTCATTATATTTTTTAATATAACATTTATGGGTTTATCTAATACTATGCGGCAAGCAATCTGTTGTATTAAGACTCTTTTAATAGATTCAATCTCAATCCTAATCTATACTCCTTTGTACTAGGCCAGATATTTGGGTGTGGTGGCCGACCACGATTCTTTGACAGACTAGTGTTATGCTCCCTGGGGTATCTTCGTTTCTTTTGGTGGGATATTTAATTTGTTTCAGGATGTGATTTGCCTTTTCAGGTTGTTAACGGTGATTGTGTGGTGTTTGACGGGGGTCTGATAGTCTGATGGTGGTGAAAGATAATTACGGTGGTGTTGCTGATCGTGGCTATGACTGGTTTTTTAAAAAAAAAAAAAAATTCAAAAGGTAATCATTTTACATTTTGTGTATACATTTTACATAAAAAGTTATACTATAATTCCATTTAATTTTGGGAAATAATTGAAAAATCCTAATAAGTATGTAATGTTAGACACAATTAGTGTCGTTAATGTCAACAGGATAAGAAAAAGTTTGCATACTTTTTTTATCCTACCTTGACCATCTATTATATCTAATTAGATTACCTTGAATTAGGTGAGTGAAGAGAAAGAAGTTATCAAATAGAATTATGGAGAATGACCAGGAGAACAAAGAAGGGATTTTGAAGAAAGTGCAATATCAAATAAGAATATCAAGATTCAATTTATTAGATTTGGTATTTAAGGTTGCTATACTCAATTGGAAGTGTCTCAAATGGAAGTTATGTCATCATAACTTTATTTACTCTTCATCTAAACTAGAATATAATCTTCAGAGATGATTTTCACATGTTTTATTTGAGTTAAGTTGGTCTTTTATTTGAGTTAATCTCTCAACATATTCTGTTTTTCATTCCGCTTTGTAATGTGTTTGCTCTTTTTACAATATCTCACAAACCACAGATCCATTTGAAGTCAAACTTGATTCATATGAAACTAGACTTAGAATACAGTTTATGGACACAATGATCAACCTCAAAGGGTTCCATAAGAAAGAGATGTGTTGTTCAAAACATAGTGCTCAGATTTCATGCCTTGATCTAGACTTGAAGTTAGTATGTTGAAGATACCTGAGATTCCAGTGAATTTTAGAATGATTCTTGTTTCATTAAAAAGTAGACTCCAAGAGTTTCCCAAGGATAAGTCATTTGCTAATTTTAATTTGGAGCTAAATTGAGGGACTTATGACCATTAAAATTTGACCTTTGTTTTGCTTGCATCAAGCTCAAATTTATTCGAAGAACACTTCAAGCCAAAAAAGTTCCGTATCCTTTACTCCCCATACTCCAATACTTCCAAATGACAAAGTGACTTTATTCGATTGCTTGTTCAAGACATCCTTCATTTTCTATATGTCTCCTAGTCTATTTCAAATAAGCATACACATTCTCTAAAGTCACATATACTCTTTTCACCAAAAAAAAAAAAGTCGCATATACTCTTATTTGAGTGCTTATTTGAGTCACCTTCTCTTTTCTAAAATGACTTAGAACTCAAATCTGAATAATCCTAAACATTTTTCCAAGTCAAACTTTCGTTCCAAGCCTTATTCATGTCAAACCATTGTTTTATCTGACTCCCACGCTACATCAAATAAAACACTTGTTATTACTTCAAATTGAAACTTGTATTTTAATGGTTATCCAAACAAAAGCCATTCCTCTCTTTTATTCCCAGTCATATTCGGATAAACCTTGAACTCTTTGAAAAGCATTATTGAAATATATATGAGTCATAACTATTGGTTTGTGTTCATGATTTTATACTTTCGATTCAAAAACACTTCCTAATGCTTTGGAAATACCTTCTAAGTTGCCTAACACTCATATAAATGCAGTAGACTACTCATGCTTGGTTTTGCAGGTTGTTAGAAACAAGTTTAAGCTTCAACGGATTTATGATGTGAAGAGCTAGCTTTTGTCAAAAGCTTTTGGATGATATCTTCTTTGTTATTTGAATAATAATTCAAGTCAAGAAGCCTTCACTCATATTCTTATTTGAATAGGTATCCAAGTTAGAAATAGCTTCTTCATACTTTGTTTCTCTGACGGATTTGAAATCAAGTCTAAATCTTTGATACTCTATCTAAACATATTTGATACTTACAAAAATTTCTTAGATCATCTAACAACATGTTTAGTAGGTGATTAAGCATGAATTAATCTTTAACAGATAAATGGTGTCACTAATCATCTTTTGTCAAAAGCTTTCAATAGTTAGTTTCAATGGTCATATTATACAAGCCAAATAGGAAAAAGAAAAGGTTATCTTTCATAATCAACCATAAATAGAGAGGGAATTCAAATTTAGAAGGTAACACAGAGCAAGTGTGTATATAATGTCAAAATTTTGAGATTTTGAATTACTTGCATCTACATTCAAAGCTCCAAAATTATGTTCTCATCATGCTTCAATGTTTAAGAAAATCTACTTCATAGAGAGAAGAATGCTTTTATTGTACACATCAATCTTTGTGAAAGTTACTTGAGATGGGGGGATCTTGAGTAGGAAATAGATTGTAACCATACAAATTGTAAAGGGGAGAGGTTCTCAAATACCCGTAGTAAACTTGAGGATTGTACATAAGCACCAAGAGCCCACTGAATCTTAGGGAATATACTGGATTGAAAATCTTAAAGGTGTTTGGGGACTAGATGTAGGTCTTTGGAGAGACTAGAATAGGATAAACTTGTTGTGTATTATTATGCATCATCTTTATCTCTATCTTCTTAATTAATATGTCACATCCTGCAAAAATTAACCCTGATGATGGATGTGAAAAATTAAGTCAAGGGCCAATATGGAAGGCAGACTGCTGACAAGGCCAGGTAGGATATAAAATCAGAATAGGGTCCGGACTGATACTTTTAAAGTTATTAGTCCAAGAAGGGCAAAATGGAAAAAATTGGAGAACAATTCCGGAAAATTCTCAGAAAATGACAAAAAGGTGAATAAAAGGTTCTGGAACCTCAATAGAGGCCCTAAAGGTGAAATTGGTGTGAAAATAGATTATTATTGAATTCCCTGAAAACAGAGATTTTTCAAAAAAAATAATGAAAATTGAGTAAACATAATTATTATAATTATTTAGAGGCCTCAATAATTCCAATAAAAATGTGGAGTAATTATCTAAATATTTGATGGAACTTATAAAATTGATTTCAGGCCCAGGAAGTAGAGGAATTAATTTTAGGGAATTTAGTTCCGAAAGTCTTACTAATAAAGCCCTATCCAAAGAAAATACAAAATAAATAGTTAGAGGTGGAGAAAAATTTTATAAATTTTCAGATTACATTATTATATTAAAATAGGATTTTTTTATGGAAATAAATACAATTTTGAAAGTCTAGAAAAATTATGAAAAGTTACAAATGAATAGTAACTGATAAGCTTCAATATTGTTTGGAGTTAATATCTTATTATTAGGCTAAATTTTTGATACTTTTCAGATCAAAAATAGACCCCACATTAGCCAAAGAAAGGCCCAAAAGTTCATGCAAACCTCACCTAATAATTAAAATGGATTTAAGCCCAATTTCAATCAAAATATTAGTGAAATATTCTGGAATAAGGACACATGGTAGGATATGAGATTATGGAGCATTGATGGCAGCCAAGTGGCCTCCCAAGTGGCAAAAAATCATGCCTAAATGGAGAGTGTGAGGTCAGAAATTTCACTCTATAAATACCCCTTAATTACACTAAAATAGCCAAAAATTGACAAAAGAGGGGATGTGCTGTCAAATTGAATTCTTGGCTTGGGAGAAGAGTGTTAAATTGTGCAAATTGAAGGAGAAAATATCAAGCTTTGGTCAAGGATCCATTAAGGTATGTTTGAGCTTTGTTTTGGTTAAGATTCAAGCTTGTTTTGGTTGAAATTTCATGATAAAATCCTAGGGTTCTATGCTGTGATTTTCAGTCAGTTTAAGGATGGATTAGGGAAGGATAGAAACCTTAACTATGAGTTTGGAATTACATGTTTAAATGATGTTTAGATTGATTTTTGGAAGAAAACTAAGTTAGGGTATTATAACATTCAATTCGGCCACTTGTTGTTTTTGGTGTAGGAGTTTGTTTTGATGTGTTTTGATGATTTCAATAAGTTCAACAGGTATTTTTGTGTAGAGAAACACCAAGAAAAAGTGTTTGGAATTATTGGAATCAAAAATAAAAATTTTGTAATATAATACCCCCTATTATGTCAAAGTGAATTAAAAGGGAAGGAATGCGATTTCATAAAATCTGATTTGATATTTGGATTCTACATAAAAAATTATATAGGAATGAGCCAAGAGATTGTTGGAATCAAAGGAGGAGTGATTATGTTAAAAAAAAAAAAAAGAGGATTTGAGTAGGTTTAAGGTTAAGTGTTTGTATTCAAGCTTCCATGGTTGTTAATGTGGCTTGTGATTATACTTGAATTGATAGGCATTGTGCAAAGGGACAAGAAGGAACCCAAAGGACTTGAAGAGGCCAAATTGGTTCAAGTATAAAAGGTAGTATTGAATCTAATTTGATTATTTTTCCTGCTTACTTAACCTGTAT